CACACACACACACGCACGCACGCACGCACACACACACACACACACACACACATGCACATGCACACATATGTATACGTATAGAAATAATTGTATAACTATAATATTAATAGAGATCGCGCAGATAAAACAATTAAAGTTATCGCCTAAGAAAAAAATAGAAATCTATTATTTGCTTAATTTTAAAAATATGAATTTAATTGATAAAAAATAAAAGAGATGTCTTTTGATATTTTATTATTATGTTATGTGATATGTTGAAGATATGAAAGAAACACAGATAATATAATACTTCAGGTATCTCTCATAATCTCAGACTGAATTAAATAAATGTTCCTTCACATATTGATTTAAGAAAAACCCAAGGTTTTTTTAAAAATATTCAATGTGTTCATAATGTAACCAGAAAGTTAATGTTATTTATTCATTATTAATAATGTTTATTGTAATATATGATTGTGTAATATGACAAAACACCTGTACGAAGATATAAGGTGATAGAGTAGGCCATACACCGACTACGTGTCCGAGTAGCATATCCTTTCTAAGAAGATACTGCGAGGAAAAATTCGTATTTAACAGTAACATGTTGTAATATATAACGAATATTGGCGAACAGGTGTAGTTCATTTCGTGAATGCTGTGTTCACAGAATATCTTAACATCATACATCCTAAGTCGATTTTTTAAAAATTTCATAATAAATGTTGATATTTTATTAATGAAATACGAGATCTCCTCTCTGGTTTGGGATGATAAAAGTTTCAATTGGCCATGTTGTTCTTGCAACAGTGATAAAATGATTTTTATTGCTTTATTAATCCGATGACACTTTGTTTCATCCATATTGACGAAAAATCTAACAAAGTGAATTAAAAGATAAAAAGACTATTATAGGCTAATCTGAAATGTAATAAAATATATAAATGGCATTCTGTACATACAAAAATACACATACACATAATATCTACATAAAATATATTTAATATTATAACATATGTATAATATTAAGAAACGAATAATAAAAGTAAAATAAAATAAAATACATGAAGACAAATGATAATATTAAATTTAATTCTTGCTGCTAACTTACCAGAATTTCCTGTTTAAGAAACTTTTCTGTATTCAAAATTTGCTTTTATTGTTACAAATAATCGTCGATAAACATTGTATTTTTCCCGTATACCTCCGTCAGAATTTCTTGTCACAGAGCCGTTTCTACAAGTCAATAATGACCGCTAATTCTTATGTCATTTGTCTTAAAATTAAAACGTAAATTCTGATTTCCATTATCGTCGGTATTGTTTAGAATATCATCAACTTTTATCGCTGTTTGACCAAGCTATGATACATGCCTCGTTTACAAACACAATGATCAAAATTGGAACGTTTTGATTTGAAGATCACAACTAGTTTTTAAAGTAAACTGTTTGTAAATTGCGTATTTTAAAACGCGATATATATATATATACTAATTTTTTAAATTTCCGTTACACGAATATTTGAATTCATTCGATTCGATAAAATAATCGATCACGAATGTGCCTGTATCAAGTAAGTATTTTGAAAACGTATATAATTGATTTTGAGAGTGATTTGTGATTTGATTCATAATAATTTAAATAACGTATCAGCCAGCCTCTAATTATCAAGCGACGCGGTAGCGTCGCGACGCCAAGTGCATAAAATAAAAATATAACCGTTTGTCATGATGACATAATACTTGATGCGTGTATATGTTCATGTCGATGTCAAATCCACTAGCTTTATCTCGAGTTTTCACATCTTGAAACTTTAGATTAAAATTACTCAGAATTTAAAAGCACAATCAAAAATCTAAAAACACTTTTATTATATAATGTCATCGGTATCTTTCGATTGCGACCAGTCCGAATAAAATTGGTGCAGCCGATACCGAGATCTAGAGACCGAGTCTCGAAAAGGGTACGTTTCAGTTACGAGTATGTTCAGACGTACGTGTGACATATACATGTATTTTTCAATCGTACGTGTGACACATACATGTAATTGTAATTCAACTGCTTTACTTGAAAAGACTAGTATAACAACGACCAAACGTGTACTTATTATTCAATTATTATTATTTAAAGTTAATAATGAAGAAGTTATAAAGATTACAAATCTTAATATTAAATCCATACCTTCGTCAAAAATTTGTATCGGTGATAATATTTATAAAGTTAATAGTGCGATTCTTCATCATGGTAAAAATATAGACGATGGACATTAAACAAATTTATTGCGAGCTAAAGGTACAAAATGGACATCCATAAATGATTTAAAAGTTGAAGTATGTAAGTGGCCACGAAATGCAAAGAGCGCGTATATATTTTTCTTAGAACAAATCTAAATTAAGTACAAATAAACTTAAGTATAATTAAGTGTCAATAAATACAATACGAGTACATCTTTAATATTAAATAAATAGAAATTTACAAAATAACTATTTTAGAAACAGAATCTGTATTTATTTTTAGAGGATTTAAATTTCCTACATTATTATCACGTTTTCATAATTAACAAAAAGCAGTGAAATCCCATAAAAAAACCTTTTTTTAAAAAAAGAAAAAGACATACGCCAAGTGCATATAAAAGATACTGAACTTCTTCATCAAAAACAGATATGAGATAAATATAATTGACCAAGTGTATTCTTCATTACGCCAGTCACATAAGACAGACCGAAAGTGACTATAATTGTCAACTGGATTATAGTGAAGAAAAAACTTGGCGTGCCCGGGTCGCATTAAAACGCAATATTCTAGAACCTTGGTTCTATCGCAATATTCTGCAGTATACACTATACATATATGCGAAAACAAAGAAAAGATGTTAATAATTGCTTACTGTACATAAAAAGTTGTTATTTATAATGTTTCTAAAATATATATCTAAATATTATATTTGTCCATATATATGGACAAATATAATATTTAGATATACATTTTATATATAATTTACATCACATCTATTATTTGTGAATATATTTTCATGTCTCACAAATTATATCACTATGTTATACTAATATATTATATCTGTATACATATGTCTGTTATTTTAATTTATAATGCAAATACTATGTTGAAATAATGTTTTCACTGCATACTGTTTACAATTAATGCGACCCGGGCACGCCAAGTTTTTTCTTCACTATTGTTACGTCCACACGATTCTCACGATTCTTTCTTTCGGAAAGGTCTACAAGTGTCGAGATAGCGAGACCATAAATAAATAACCGACAGTCCGGCTGTCGTCTTACCAAAAATCTAAACAAAAGTACTCGCTATCTCGTCATAAAAAGTCATTTTAAGACAATTCATTTACGAGCGTACGTACACGAATTATGAGAACACGAATCATTTCCTCGAAGTCTCGGCTATAAAAAGTAATAAATATACATTCTACTGTCACCGAAAATAGAAAAGCCATAAATATTCACTCTACTGTCAGTCAAATCGTGGATGATTCTCACGAGTTACGTTCGTAAAAATTAAAATCTGTCATACGGCGAGCCTCGCGAGAAAGGGTGCACGTGCATTTACTCGATGCGGCCCCTCACGTAAATTAAACAAATAAGGCCATAAATCTTAAGATAGCGGTGACATCGGTCAAACTCCTTCCCACCCACAAGACGCATCCTAACTCCCAACCAATCCTAGGGCTAGAAAACTTAGCCCTTTGTTTTACCGACAAATTCCTCCTCCCATCAGAGCCCGACAAATTAGGGGGAATCAGTATAAAAACCCCGATTTTTGGGTGCTCGCGGCAGTTCATCGCAGTTTTTCCGAGTCGTCAAGGGCAATTGTCCGTGTCGTAAGACCGAGTCGATTGTCTGAGACGCATCTCGGAGCGAGTCAGTTTCCCCGTGCGTCGGTTAGACACTTAAACCTTCGTCGGTTTTATCCGGACAATACAGTGTCGCGGTGGTTGTCTAACATTAACTACCAGAGTCGTCCATTACTCACAAGACCCCAGCAACATACCGGGTACCGACTACCAGCAACGGCACTGTGATTGTGAGATTCAGTACAATCAAGGAGCATCTCTTTAAAGATTCTACCGACAGTAAGCCTGCATTTTTTATTATGGGTGATTCAAAATTTCCGCACTCGGAGTACAAGCAAGGGCGCCCATGAGGGGGGGCAAGAGGGGGCACGTGCCCCCTCCTGGAATTCTTGGAAAATTTTTTTTTTTTTAATATTTTTTGAAAAAATAATAACAGGTCGTTTAACATCAAAATAAAAATATGCAAGACTGAAAAAGATATTTGTAATATATATATATATATATATCCGTTATCTGCTGTACACTGCAAGTCCCGCACCAGATTGAACTGTAGAAAAAAAACGCTACATTCAGAAGGTTACATCGAGAAACATTCCGTTACGTCTTGCGCCTTAAGTCATACGTCTGAGATACAAGGTCTCCGCTGCTCGACGGTAAAACTTAAAACGCAAGATGTAACAAGCACTGAGCACAGATGAAAAATGCTACGCCTTACGCCTTACGTTCGAGACGTACGTCTCTACGGCAGTCCTTCTGCTATGGCCTTTAGGCCGCGGTCACATGGTACGGAACTTGCGGACGCACAATTGGCGTAACGCGTGTTACTCTACATCTATATATACTTCGGTGCCGATATATATGTATATATATATAGATAAGGCCTCTTTCACCAACACCGATTAAATTAATCGACGATTAGTCCATTGGAATTGACCAATCGCGTCTGTTGTCAAAACTAAATGATAAATGTGATTGGTCAATTCCAATGGACTAATCGTCGATTAAGTTAATCGGCGTTGGTGAAAGAGGCCTTCAATGGATTAAATATCAATTGCAGAATGTGACCAATGGCATTGGGCGATTACAGAGTTTTAAGGCTGTAGTCACATGGAGCGAATCTGCGGACTAGAAATGGCGGAACACGTGATATGGTGTATCTATATATATATATACATATATATCGGCACCGAAGTGCCGTATATATAGATGTAGAGTAACACGCGTTACGCCAATTGTGCGTCCGCAAGTTCCGCACCATGTGACCGCGGCCTAAAGGCCATAGCAGAAGGACTTTTAAGTCGCAATCGCATGCAATGCAGACAGTTAAACACTACTCGAACTATACTAAAATATATTGCTTGCCCCGGCCATTAGCTTGCGACTTGTTTAATAGTGTTTTTCACTAGCTGCACTAGTAGGCATTGAGTCATGAAGTGCATTTCTATCTCGTTTCATGTAAAATCACGGAACAGATAAACTGTCAGTGTGCATTAGTGCAGCCAATGAGAAACGACACTAGAGACTTAACCTGTACAAGACGTAATACTTTACGCTAAGACAAACAATTTTTTCCTTTAACAAAATTGCGTCCGACAAATAGTTTTTGCAGTAGAGCATGTTAAATTTAACGAATAAGCGTTGTTGTCTACATGGCGCTCAGGGCCGGCGCGCGCTCCTCACTCGCGTGTGAGGAAAATGAAACATAAAAAAGTGGTTTATTTAGAATGACAAAAAATAAATTTATTTTAAATAAATGTTTGTTTTGAAGAAGTATAACTGTAATTGTTTCTTTATAATAAGTTCAAATGATCAAATTTTAGGTTATAATTTTAATGTCTATCAATGTAGAGTACAAGAATTTGTGAAGTATTGTAAATAATTGTGTAAATGAAATATACTTTTTTCAATTTATGCAGATAAATAATAATTTATTATTTATTTATTTAGGAGTGATAAAAAGCCTTGGGTTCCGACCAAAAACACCAGAATTTGTAGTGTTCACTTCGTTGGTGGAGAGAAATCCAATGATGCAAGGAAGGAATCATTTTATCCGACTTTATTTCCATCTATTTATAAAAAAAAGTCTACAGACTTGAGAAGAGCTGAAAGATTAGAAGCTCGTATTAAAAAAATCGAAGACAGAGATGTCCCAATGCAGATGAAACATATTAAATATGGTATTAGAATGTTAAAAAATAAATTTAATAATTTAATAATGAGAAAAAGAAAGGATAACTTATTAATATTAAATATTTTTTATTGCAGATTTAACTTCTGATTTTTACGAAGTACCAAATACATTTGAAATTGCGGTACAAACAGATTATTTCTACCGTGATACAGATTTTCAAGAGAAGACAAATTTTTTATTTTGTTGGACAAATGGCAATAAAGCCTCGACTCAAACATTTATAGTTAATAATTCATCAATGAAGCAAAATTCTTTACTTATTTCAGAACCTACAATATGTAAGCCTGTAAAAACTCGTGATGTTGCAGTTGGCCAAGATTGTGAAATAAGATTAGGATTTACAGGATTTCCAAATATTAAATACGATGAATTAATGAAACAATTTGGGGGCATCAATTTAATGTTTTTTGGAATATTACTAAAATGTATAGTACCTAAAAATAATTATCAACCTGCTTATTTTAAAAAGCTTTCTGCTGAAAATAGGTTACTCCTATTTTTAATGAAAATGAAACATGGACTGCCTTTCTCTACGTTAGGTTCTTTATTTCAGATTTCTCGTACTTCAGCCGCAAATATCTTTAAAAGCGTTTTAAAAATTTTAGTGTTAAATACAAAAACATGGCTATTTTGGCCATCAAAAGAAGCAATTAAAGAAACTATGCCATCCTGTTTTATGCATTATCCAAATTGTCGAGCGATCATAGATTGTACCGAGATTTCTTGTGACACGCCTCCAACTGTCGAGCAACGGATATTAATGTATTCACATTATAAATCTAATTTTACAATTAAATTTTTAGTTGCCATTAGCCCTTCTGGTCTAATAACTTTCATATCAAAAGCTTATGGCGGGAAAGCGACTGATGGATTTATAACTAATGATTCGGGATTTTTAAACTTAATAGAACCTGGAGACGAAATAATGGCTGATAAAGGATTTCCGCAAATTAAAGTTGAACTTCTATTACGTCAATGTACAATAGTGATGCCTCCATTTGCCTTTAATCCTCAATTTTCACGTGAAGAAGTTTTAGAAGGATATTCAATAGCATCTGTACGAATACATGTTGAAAGAGCGATTCAAAGAATAAAAATTTTTTAAATTTTAAGTCATCTCAACATAGAATTACTTAATCATATTGATGATATAATTTTTATTGCTGCTGTACTTGCTAATAATAAAGAACCTCTCATTAAAAAGTAATATTACCGCTTTATGTGATTAATAATATTAAAATATATTGCTATTATATTTATAACAATGTTAATAACAATCAGGGCTGGGTAATATTTAAAATAGTTCCATTTTAAATACATATTTAAAATGGAAATGGCATTTTGCATTTTCCATTTTAAATAGTTTTTTGGAAAACCATTTCCATTTTACATTTGAAATGGAATCATGTCTATCATTTAACCATTTATAAAATAGGTAAATGGTTTTTTTATGTATTCATAAATTTTCCCTTAAGAAGAATCAAGTATCGTGGTTGGTGAGAACACAATTTCTTCTATGACGATGTTGTCTGATACATTTAAAAAACAATTGTTACTCAAAGCAAATAGTGCGTTTATTAAATTAAATAAAACTGTATTACTGTAAAATGTATTTTTTTAAACAAATATTAAAATCTTTTTAGGACTGTACAATGATAAACAACAATAAGAAGAAGGAAGTTAATAACAGTCAAAGCTGGATCACAATGCTTATTATAATTATGTGTGAATTTTGTATACTGCGTATGTAGTACTCCCATATAAATATTATTTATCATTATACAGTCTTAAAAAGATTTTAATATTTGTTAATACACGTCGATCCTGAAAAAGACGTTATTCCTACTTTAGATAAATATTGCGAAGAATATTACTACGTCGATCCCCTCCCCCATCAGAGGTCTATCGATATTCGTAAAAATTTCTTGCAAATACTGAGATACGCGTATATCTCTATATATAGAATCTCGATTTAATAATTTACACAGGCGTCTAAGGTAGGTTTCCACTACAATACCTTACTGATGAGTCCAATAGTGGAAACCTGGACGAAACACCAAAATTATTAATATTTTTCGCAATACATAAGAATTACAGAATTTTAAATACGAAAATTAAAAATTATCCTTTTCAGATTTTAATATGTCATTCAAAACTATTAAGATCCATGATGCTATGAGCATCAAAAATTGTTAATCAATTAAAGTTCGTGATATTACTGCGGTAGTAAGTATGTATGCGCGCGTCAATGCTGAAAAACTATCAGCGTCGCGATTTATATGGGGGGACTACATACGCAGTATACAAAATTCACACATAATTATAATAAGCATTATGATCCAGCTTTGACTGTTATTGACTTCCTTCTTCTTGTATTTTCTTTAATTTTTTATAATTATCCCAATAAATTGTGAATTAAACTGTAATATAAAATAGATATTAATTACAAATCCATAAATATCGATTTTTATTAAAAAAAATGGATGTTCCAGCATTATGCAAAGTAATTTCCAACATAAAATACTTAAAAATATGTATACCAAGTAAGACCATTTTGCATTTGAAAACCATTTAAAATTCCCATTTATCTATTTTATATTTAAAATGGATTAAAAGAATCTATTTTACATTTTGTATTTTAAATACTCTTTTTAAAAGTATTTTATATTTGGTATTTTAAATGGAATTCGAAAGGCATTTTACCCAGCCCTGATAACAATGAAATATATGATATTTTATATTATGTAACTATAAACTTTTTTTAATAATGTAACAAAGGAAGAAAGTATGTATAATAAAAATATTCTATTTTAGGTATTACTTCTTTCAAAAATTCTTCATCCCTATTGATTACTATATAAATATAATCGATATTTGAATAAACCCAAAAATGGCACAAGGTTACTCCAAGAACGTACATGGATACTTGGACTTGGGTATAATACTTATCATTTTCTTTTAATATAATTTTTCCGTCGCTATTGAGTTTTAAATAAGAGACTCGAATTTCTTGCGTTATATCATGTATAATGTTAGTTTCTTTGCAGCTACTAGGACACTTAATTTCTAATAATTGAATATTTCCATCTTCATCAATTATAATACCGTCTGGACTACAGGCAAGATATGGTTGCTGAAGTGAAATTACTAAACCTACTTCATGAACTTTTAATTTAGTATGACTTTCAAAACAAGATCTAGCAATAGCTTCCATTTTTAGACCATAGCGCATGTCATCGGTTAAAATGTTTCGATACTTATCATTTAGAAATTGTTTAGCCAAATCTTCAAAATTATTCTGTTTTGTCTTAATACGATGTACTTTATTACTGCATGTAATCCTGTGGTGTCTTTCAGCATGCCAAACAGCAGTTTGTGATTGTCCTACTGAATTGATGCATGATTCCGTCCACTTTGACTTATCCACAGTAATAAGTGAACGAAGGGCATTATATTTAGAAGGCCATTCCATGATCTTTAATTTAATTTTTGAATTACAATTTGAATTACATGAAACAATTTCGTATGCATGATATATTTGCAAATCCTTTCGTGTTGTTAATTGTAATTCAAATAATTTATCGAGAATATTTCTAAGTGTTGTAATATTTCTTTTCCGAATTTCTTCACGCATTTCTCGTTCTATTGCACATTTCTTTTCAGCCCTAAGCATTTCAGCCATTGAACAATTCAGATTTAAATGCTCTTCTGTTATATTTTTTATGTCATATATTTTAAAAACTTTATTATTTGATGAATATTCAATAGTTCCTTCTTTTTGTTCAAAAAGTTTTGTAATTCGGCGACCTTTTGCATATTTCTTTAATTGTTCATTGGACAGTCTATTCCAAATCATTGGTGAATCTGTTTTTGATAATGTATTTTCTACATTTACATATATGCAAACAGAAGCTGCATGTTTACAGAATCCTTTTCCTCCTTTGCAACTGCATTCTGTATCGTTTATTATTCGATCTGAATTCAACTAAATAATAATTTATACACAAAAATTACATAAAGGATATACTTCAAAGTAAATCTTATATTTTATTGTTTGTTTAATTAGTCAAGTTTTTTTAATGCCGCGTTTAAATTGCATAAGGATTTCTACATTATTTATCGAACATATTTTTATGTTACCTTTATTGTTACTTGATAAAAATTTTCATTTCGTTTTCTGCTTTCTGCTTCCGGGGTTTCTCTTAAAACTGTTCCTAATATACGACGATAATTATTATCATATATTTCTTCGTATACATTAGAAACATGAAAACTATTAAATAGTTTTTGTCCTTTTGATATACTTTTTTTTTTCCTAAAAACGTCTAATTTAACCTCTTGAAATCCACTTCTAATTGTTACAACCATTGCTGACTATTCAACGATATATTTGAAACAATAAATCAGAATAAAACAGAATAAAACGATAGCTGAATACGCAAACGCGCGTTTATTCTCATACTCCCATAAAATAAAAATATAAACGAGAGATGGCGCTAGTGTTCCACGTCAGAGATACTTGCTTAGCGTATGAATTTATTGATATGCTGTATTAGCTGATGAAGGTTCTATATGAATCGAAACGTTCTAAAACTTGAATAAATTGAGAAAATCTATCAATTTTTATTGGATTTGCATTATAATAACCACGCCGTACTCTCATTTGCCCGTTGTCGACTGAGTTTTTTTAAGAGTTTTAGATTTTGCAAAATTTTATCACTTTTGTGTGTGTGTGGTAAGTTTAAAAAAATTTGTTTATTTAATTGGATTTACAGTGGTATAAATATGAAACCGGAATTTACCAATAGACGGCCATATAGCTGTCAATGTAGTTGCTGTTAGACCGCGTCATTAACGCCATTTCCTTGTTCTGACATCTGACAAAGATTTTCAACTCACAACAATACAAGTTTCATACAACAGTATAGTTTGTAATAGCGTTGAACATGTCGAATTTTGCGCCTAGAAACTACGATTTGCGAACAGCAATTAACTTTTTGTTACCATTTGAAGAAAACTGCTGCAGAATCGCATCGGATGCTTGTCGAAGCTTACGGTGAGCATAGATTTGTTCGCGTTGCATGAACTTTCTGCACTTGCACTTTAATTAGTCCAGTCATTATGTATGTACATAAAAATGGGTTAAAAAAGAAAAAATTGGAAGCAGCAATTTTATTCTTGGGGGGTCTCAGGGATGTCAAGAAAAGCTTAACTTGAAGTTTTTGACCTCTGTTTCCCGGTTGTCTTTTTTGCTACAGTTAAAAACATTAAAACAAATGGTTTTTTCGCAATAACTCGGGTTGTAATTAACTTAAAAGGCCGTTATTAGGCCCATTTTAAAGGTTTTTTTATGCTCTTCAATTTTTGTCATATAATATTTTGTCGTGCGACCGATATTTTTCGAAAAAAAAGGAAAAATAAAAAAAAAATAAAAAAGAATAAAAAAAGGAATTGTTCGTTTTTTAATTCTCTACAACTTCTTCTCAAGTCATTTTTACATTTTCCGTTAAGAATATCGAGTAAAAAACAAAAATAAAACTTATTTTCAGTACAAAAATCGCGATAAATCGTTCGATATCTCGAAAAATATTGGTCGCACGACAAAATATTATATAACAAAAATTGAAGAGCATAAAAAAACCTTTAAAATGGGCCTAATAACGACCTTTTAAGTTGATTAGAACCGGAGTTATTACAAAAAAACCATTTTTTTGGTGTTTTTAACTGTAGCAAAAAAGATAACCGGGAAACAGAGGCCGAAAACTTCAAGTTAAGCTTTTCTTGACATCCCTGAGACCCCCCAAAAATAAAATTGCTGCTTCCAATTTTTTCTTTTTTAAGGGGTTATACTACCTTGGCGCGCTGAAAAATGAATCGTTCTTTGGGAATTTTTTTCTCGGTTACTAACGAATGGATTTAAATGAAATTTTGAGGCATGATTAAACATATATTGAAGTGCACACACAAATATTTTTGTCAATTTATTTTGCAAAATGGCGCCGTGGCACTATCATAGTCAAAATTGTGTTTTTTTCGTAAGGACAAACGGCGTTGTCTGTTTTAGCACTTCTATGGCACCTAGAACAAAAATCCAAAATTTTTCTTAAAATATGTTACTTCTACTTTGGAAGTACACATGATTTTGTTGTTAGAGAAGTCATAAGAAATTACCTAATTACAGTCAAATATTCTTCTCGTATTCGAATTTAATTGATCAATTTCTTATGGCTTAAGACTTATTAAAAAGTAAACCTAATAATCTAAATTGTAGTTATTTAATCTCATTTCAAAAAAAATTAGGACATTTTGATCTAAACAATAATTTTTTTCGAAATAAACTTTTTTTTTCAACTTGAGTTAATTCAATATTGGCTTAACTTACGTTAAGTTAATTTTTTATTCCTTCAACTTTCAACTTAACATTATTAATTTTGTAAAGCCATTAACTTTAACTTTATTTAGTTAAAAAAAAACATTAACTTACCCAACCCTGGTTGTAAGTAATAAACTGGCATATGTACCAACCGCACAAGTGGAGGCAAAAGGACTCACTATAATCAAGCACCCCGAAGAGAATAAATGATCGTTTTACATAAAATCAGTCCTTTTCAGGGCTGCACGATGTATTAACCCTTACTAGTCTAATGTTTTTTCAGCATCTTTAATGGTCTAACATGGGTCATTCGTGTCTCGGCGTTTTTTAGACATGTTAAAGTGCTTTAAAAAATCTGCAAAAATTCATGGACCTTCATTAATTCTTCAATTTCAAGAAAAAAAAATTTGTATGTCGAAAATAATTATTTTTGTATATAGTTTTGTATTAAAAATGGAGGTACCGCGTGTAAAATCACTCGATCACTTAAAAAATCATAACTTACAAATTCAACATTAAAAAGAGGGAATAAAAGATAAGAAGTCAAAAATAAGACTAAAAATACGTATAAAATGATTGTTTAATACTACAAATGATCATAAAATACATGGAATACAGCACATAATCTGTGGTCTTTCAAATTTCGCCCGGGACTTGAACGACCCACGTTAGACCATTAAGGGTTAAATCCAACCGAGCAACCTCCACGTGGTGTATATTGGGTAACGCAAATGCCGGTGGTATTAAAAATCTTAAAACTCAAATATTTTTGCGAAAAATGATCGCAGCGCCCTCTATGCATAGTGTTTTGAATTCGTTTCGAAAAGACCTTTCGAACAAGCCCCCACTCGACCCCCCTTCCCATTTAAGAATTTATTCCCCCCTCGCGCCCCCCGCACCCCCTTGGGGTTGGGGGGTTGCAACTCCCCGCAAAAGATAGATTTTTTGAAAACTCGTTTGACGTGTTTCGGCGATTTTCGAAATTTTTATTTTTTCAAAAGATATTAGACCGGTCTACGACTTAATGAACACCCTGTATAATATTTTGCTTACAAAGTGTCATCTGTTTCATTGGAATAATTTTTTTTTAGCATTAATCCATTTCGTCCTGATAAAGCAAGTGATATTATTTATGTTTTTCTCCTAATAATTCTCTTAACTCGCTACAATGTAGAAGATATTTATATTATTAACATAATTTTAAATTATTGTTTTATAATACATAATTGTATCATGTAACATAATTTATTTATCACTTATGTTTCATATTTGCAAGTTGTTCTTGCTCTACCAGTTTTTTTATTGTTACTGACCATATTTTTATATGATCGCATCAATGATTTAAATTTATTTTCCACTTGTAAAGGAGTTACTGCATAGCCGCTATGAAGCATTTCTTCTGCTATGTTCTTCCATAAATGTTTATAAGTTTTTATTTTTCTTGTATTTACTAGATCTTTTTTACGTTTGTAAATATCTAGAAATAATTTTGTTGTTGCATCAGTCCAAAGAAAAGAAACTGATGTATTTTCATTTTGGTCATTCTCTTTATTGCCCATCGATTGTGTCTCTTCAAATGATGATTTAAATAAATCAATAATGATTTCTGTATTGTCAACAGTAAAACTCAGAGTATTCTGAGAAAAGTCAATTTCATCAAATTTTAGTTGATAAATACTTCCATCTAAATAGAAAAAAATATATTAAACAAAAAATATTTTTATAAATTTATGGTTATAGAATATATTGTTGTAAGACGTGTTCTTTACCGTATATAAGCTAGTTGTATTTAATTACCTTCAATTACATTATAAACATGGAAATGGCATTGTAAGAGTCAAACGAAAAGAAAATTAACAACAAATTAATACATATATTCTAAAATTAATGAACATATAAAATTTACATAAATGTAACGATTAAAAAACAGATGTTAATTACATTACTAGTTTCGACCACCAAATCTGGTCCTCTTCAGATGAAACACTTTACGTTGAAATGTACAAAATTATGGAAAAACATCAATATATAAGAAAATCTTGTGCGTAGTTAAATATATAACTGAAAAAACAATAGAATGAACATATATTAATTAAAAG